CGCGCCCCCGCCGGCCTTGAGCAGGTCCGAGCGAGACTGGCAGTGCGCCTCGCGGCTGCGCTCGATGTAGATGTTGACGGCCAGCACGCCGATCACCTCGGCCAGGATGAACGACAGCCCGCCGAAGTAGAAGGACCAGCCGTACGAGTAGTGGTTTTTCTTCTCCTCGTCCCGCTTCGGGCCCGGCTCGCCGGCGTTGGCCGAGATGTACACGATCACGCCGATGATGTTGCTCAGGCCTGGGCGGGGACGGTCAGACGGGAGCCTCGAGGCCACCCCCGGCCCCTCCCCGGTCCCCGGCCCCTCTGCGCCAGCGGGCCTAGGCGCCACCCCCAGGCTAGACCCCCGAGTGGGCTAGACCCCTATCCTGGATCTGGCTGACCCAAGTCCTGCCGGAAGTGAACACAACTCCCCGCCCGATACTCTAGACGCGGCCCTGCTGGTCTAAGCTCCAATCCAGAGGGCTCAGGCCCACTCCTAGCTAGCCCAGGCCTCATCTCCGCTGGTCTAACCCAGCCCCGGCTGACCTAAACTCCATCCCCCTGGTGGTGCAGGGCCGCCAATGGTCCAACTGCATCATGCGTGGTCCTGGCCCCGCAGGCTCAAGTACCCCCTCAGACAGTCTAAACTCCACCCCAAGGTGGTCCAGGCCCTGCCCTGAATGGTCCGGACATGGCCCTGGCTAGTCCAGGTCCTGCCCCCAGATAGCCCAGGGCCCACCTCTGCTGGTCTAACCCAGCCCTGACTGGTCTAAACTCCACCCCTAGGTGGTCTAGGACCCCAACTGGTCCAGGCAACACCCTAGATGGTCCTGGCCCTGGCTGGTTCAAGTCCCATCTCAGATGGTCTAAACCCCACCCCCAGGTGGTCCAGGCCCTGCCCTGAATGTACAAGACAGGGCCCTGGATGGTCCAGGTTCTGCCCCCGGATAACCCAAGCTCCACCTCTGCTGGTGTAATCCAGCCCTGGCTGGTCTAAACTCGGCCCTACGTGGTCTAAGACCCATCCCCAGATGGTCTGGGCTGCCCCCACATGGCATAAACCCCACTCCTCTAGCTAAGGTCCCACCTCTGCTGGTCTAAACCCCAACCTCTCTGGTGGTAACTCCACCCCAAGTGGTCCAGGCCCCACCCCTAGGTGGCCTAAGCCCCACCCCTAGCTAGTCCAGGCCCTGCCCTGACTGGTCTAAAACCCACCTTTGATGAGTTTACAGCCCCTGCCCTGGTTAGTCTAACTCCACCCTTAACGTTATAAACCTGGGTTTTTCCCAAGCCCTGTCCCTCTGTTCCTTTGAACTCTGTTAATGATGTCATCCTGCTGTGACCAGGCCCTGCCTATCACTTATCTAAACCTTCTCTTCGTCATATAATTCCTGGCGGAGCATCCATTCTAGGCCCTCCCCTGCTGGTCAAAAATTTGCCCTTAATAAAGCAGGCCCCGCTTTCTACCCTAGGCCCCACCTCCAGCTTACCAAACCCCGCCCCGTGCGGATCTTGGCCAGGGTCCTCCCCGGTCCCAGGTCCAGCTACTCCGGATTTTCAGGTCCTCCAAGCCCCACCCTTTGCAGATCTAGACCCACCCCCAAAGCACACCCTGCTCTTCAAATATGCAAAGCCCTCCCTCTTCTCTGTATTCTACTCCAAAAAAGCTCTGCCCCCTGGAATTTCCCAATGCTACTCATATGGGGTAGAAAGGGGGTCTAACCCCTTAATTACGTGCCTCTTAAGTGTTCCTGTCCTAGCTCTCTGCTCCTCTAGGCCCTAGCTCTTGAGACGGCCAATCCGAGGTACTGACTGGCTTTGGTCGGCCTCTTGCTTCAATCAGCCAAGTTGACTCTTTGTGTCCTTAAGGACATAACCACTCCCCCTTTGGCTTTTCCAGGCATCACCCTGTCTTTTCTAGCCTCTCCTTCTCCAAATGGTAACGGGCAAGGGCCGATTCAGTCTCCCTCGACCAGCCCCTTTAGTTTCCACTTCCCGGCCCCGGACGGTTTCCCAGGACCAGCCCCCTCTTGGATCCACCAAGGTCTCCAAAGACCAGCCCCTTAAAACAGGCTCCTCATCCGCGCCCAGATCACTTTCTACCTCTCCTGGGCCCGCCCTCCAAGGCCCAGCCCCGCCTCTCTATCCTCAAGAGCCCAGTTGTGTCTCAAGATCCCACCCCCTCCCCCAGCTCCTCCCCTTCCGTCTCCAGGACGGCGGGCTAAGGATCCTAAGCGCTCGGCGTCTTACGGGCTAGACACCTGTCTCTGCCGCTTCACTCCTCCGAAGGCGTAGCGAAGACTACACCCACCTTACCCAGCGGGTGGCGATGGAGCTTGGGGACCGCCTAGGAAGGCTCCGGACCCCCGGGGGTGCTCGGGGCGAGGTGGCTTTGCAGACACACACACGCGCACATGCACTTACACACACGCGCGCGCGCGCACACACGCACTCGCGCGCGCAGGTGGGCCGCCCCGGTCGCCCCCTCCCTCTGCCTCTCACCTGCTGCCACGAACAGGATCCCTGCGCCCAGAATGATGTTCCTCTTGGACTTGTAGACGCGGGAGGCCGCCACGCACACGCCCCCGAGCAGCAGCAGGATGGCGCTAAGGATGGGGAAGATGCTGGAGGCCCGGACAACTCCTGCGGGGGAGGAAGGAAAGGAAAAGAAGGGAGAGCGAGGGCGGTCAGACGCGGTCCCCTGCGCCCCCCTCCCGGCCCCCCATCTCGCGGCGCCTCCCACCAGTTATGTGATTCTTCCTCTCCGGCTGTGTTCTGGTTTATTTTACTGTTGCCTCATTCTCTCTCCTGTTTTTAAAATTTCTCTGTTTCTCGGTCTGATTCCCTCTCCCTCTTTTTCTTTGTCCTTTTCTTTCTTCCTCGGACTATTTTTCTCTCTCCCGGAATATCTTTTCCCCTCTTTGTTTATCGAAATCACTCTCCCTGTTTTTCTCCCAACTTCTCCATGGATCCTCTCCCTTTCTCTCTTTCTCATCCCTCCCTTCCTCTCGTCTGCGAATTTCTTTCTCCATATCCCGCAAATCACTTACTACCTCTCTCCACACCCCTCCCATTTTCTGCCTCGCTTCATCTGAGTTTCTCTCTCTCTCTCTCTACATTCCTTCCTCCCTCCTCCTCCTCCCTTTTCTGCCAGGCTGAATCTACTTCTGAGTTTCTCTTCCCTTCTTCTCCTCCCGCCCCACCCCCCTCGTTTTATTGCCTGGCTTCATCTATCTTTCTGGGTCTGTCTCCCCTCTCTCCTCTTATCTTCTGGGCCTCATATGTCTTCATAGGTTTCCCCCCAACACCCCGGTTTTTCTGCCTGGCCTCATCTGTCTTCCTAGTCCCCGCCCCCAACTTTTTCTGTCTGGCTTCGCCTATCTTCCTAGGTCTCTCCCCCGTCTTTTTTTTCTGCCTGACCTCATCTGTCTTCCTAGGTCTCTCCCCACTTCACCCCGCCCCTTTTTTCGCCTGGCCTCCTCTGGCCTCCTGGATCTCTCCCCTCCTTTAATGCCTGGCTTCCTCAATCTTACAGGTTTCTTTTTCTCTCCACTCCCTTCCTCTCCCTTACTCCTTCCCTCCCTCCCCACCCCCTTTTAGGCCTGACTTCATCTATCTGAGCCTTTCTCTTTTCCTCCCTCCCTTCTTCCCCTTCTCTCTCTCCCCTCCTCCCGCTCCGCCCCCCTTGTCTCTTTCTCTGCAGTCCTTTCTTTCCACCCACTCTTAAAACCCCAGGCAACCAGATTTTGCGATTTCGGAGCCTGGCTGAGGCCGCAGCCAATCATCATTTAGGATTTGCCGCGTTCTCGGGGTAGCTACCAATGGAAACACAGGCTTTCCCAACCGGCTCCAGGGAGTGGCCCGTCCCCACCGCAGATTGCCCCATAGCCCTGCGGCGCGGTGGCCAATCCCAGCCCGGGATTCCACAACCAGTCACGGCGCAGAGTCGCCGCGAGGGCCAGAGAGAGCAGGGCGGCCAATGAGCGCTCAGGATCCTCCCTCAGCCCGCCCCAAGGTGAGAGGAGGGGGCGGGAGCGAGATCACTCAGCCAATCGGGGACCAGAGGATCTCACTATCTGGACTCGGATTGGCTGGGAGGCTAACCTCGGCGTGTCGATCCAAGTGCCTTCTCCCGGCGCCCACCCCGACGCCCTCAGGCCCCGCGATTTGACCCACTCCCCACTTCTGTCCCGGACCCCCACGTACGGAGTAGATACTCCGCGCTGTCGTGGTCGTAGTCCGTGTCCTCTGGGAAATGATTGATCTTCACGCAGACGCCTCTTTTCAACCCTGGAGGAGCGGGGAGGGCAGTGGTGGGGGTGGATACTTCAGGGTTGGGGGCGGGGCAACCCCACTGACAACCGACCCTGCCCTTCCCCAAATCCCTTCTGTCTCTGGGCAGCTTGGGAGACAGCAAGTCCCGGCTCCTGAGCCCGACTCGTGATATGGGACAAACTTGGAACTTCTGTGGTCTCCGTTTCCCCGCCTGTTAAGGAAAAGAAGAAAAGCAAGAAAAAAACCCAAAGTCTAACATCCAGCACTCACTGCAAGGCCATGGGACCTTGGCCCTGTAAGCTGGGCTAAGTTGCTCTAGCACTCTGGATTTCCTGCTCCCACCTCTATAAGAAAGAGGGTGTTGTTGGCTTCAATAATAGCAGGGCGCTTCCCACCTCTCAGTTGGTTGAAAAGTCTGGAAATGCGTGGGGAAAAAAAAAAAAAAAAAACAAGGAAAGGGATGCAGAAGCCGGTGAGGACTACATTTCCCATGAGACCCCGTGAAGTCTGGAGTCCAGTTGTGAGAAGAGCAGTCGCAGTGGATCATGGGAGTTGTAGTCTCCAGTCCTGTAGGGGTGGAGGGGGGAGAGAGAGGGAGAGCGCTTCCAGTCTCTTTCTGCGGGGAACCTGGAACCTTCTGGAGAGAGATGGAGTGGTCGAAGCAAGCAGAGGTGTGTGAGGGGTGGAGTATGCCTCTAGGGGTCATGCATCCTCATCTCCTTCCCCTCCTAAGATGCTCATCCTCAGCTATTTTCTCATCCTTTGGGAACAGTTAATATTTTACTACCTCTAGCACATAGCTGGAGAAAAAATTAAAAATATAAATATAAATAATGTAGTTTCCTCAGCTGCTGAGTTCTGTCCAGTTCTGCAGGCCTGTGCCCATGCTGTGGAACATTTCGCTCACATTCTTTGCTGATGTAGTACTTTACCTGCAGCGGGCAGCTCAGGAGGCACCTTCTTGAGGAAGCTTTCCCTAGACACAGACACATATGCACACTCATTCCTCCCACCAAACTTGGGTCAGTTTCCTGCTCTGAGGTGCCCCGTAGGACATGCATTTGTTGATAGATGATCTTCTTCGTCCTCGGCAAGCTGGGAGTTCCTGGAGGGGATAGGGCATGGGAGTCCAATTCCTCTGTGTGTCCCAGCATTTCTTGGCACTAGGCCTGGAACACGGCAGACCTCAAGAAATGAGGGTTGAGGCCGGGCACAGTG